TAAAATCTATGAAAATTATTAAAATATATTCTTAAAATTTGGAATGATGAAGAATTGCTATGTCAAATCTTGAAAAATAATGTAGTTTATCCATATTTCTAATATCTATCTACTCTTCAAAAATTTTATTTGCACTTCCCACATACATATATATTACATCTTTCTAAATATCCATATTTTGGTTATAAGTTCCATTACTGACACCCTGCCTTTTCTCCTAAAACATATAATCAGTTAAGAAGCTGATTTTTCTCAAAATCTTTTTTAGACAAAGACAATTTTATATTACAAAACTCTTTCTAACTTAGTTCTGAGCACTATACGTCTTAAACATAATTGAATTTCACTTCTTTAGAAAGGATGAGACTTAGCTAAGGAAATTATGAGGTAATAAGCGTTCAAGAAAAAAATGGTAAGCAAGCAAAACTAATCTGGATTGGAATGTTCTTAGAGATTAATGTCTATTGATGTTTTTTCCTATTATAAATACAAAATTTATCACTTCAAAAATAAAGTGAGACTTAAATCCACTTTTACATTAACTTTTGTACATTTGCAACAGACAGTTGCAACAGACAGTTGCAACAGACAGTTGCAACATGATCAGAACCTGCATCCAGGAAATTTATAGGTTAACAGAATAAGGGATGATTACACTTCTGTAATATAATGTAATATAAAAAATTAATTAATGATAATAATTCTAATTTTTATCATCTTTGAATATCGTTTACAGTTGATGAAACAAGCGCTGCAAATTTAATTCTGGAAGAGGAATTGACTGAAAATATCAAGACCAGTCCACCAGAATTAAACGACAAGTCAAATGAAGATGAGGTACAGAAAGACACAGAAGATGCTAATAAACAGCTGGAATCAGAAGAAAAAGAAGATCAACCTAGTGTATCTCCATCAAATGATGTTGGATTTAAAAAGGTTTTTAAATTAGTTGGATTCAAATTTACAGTTAAGAAGGATAAAACAGAGAAAGCTGAACCTGTTCAGCTATTGGATGTAAAGACAGAGGTTGCAGAAGGGTCAGGTGATGTGGCTGGAGATAAACCATTCAAGGCAGAGACAGTGGGAGAAGCCACACAAAATGAAATAACTGCCTCTGTAGACAAGATGGTGGAAGAAACTCAGGCTGAGGAGATGGAACGAGAAACTTCCTCTGAGAAAGTAACAGAAACCCCTGTTGACCCAGAAAGCAAAGAGGCAGAAATTAAAAACAATGGGATTAAATCTCCAGAATCTCCGGTGAGCCCATTAAACAATGAAACTGCATCACCTCTAAGGAAGTTTTTTAGTCAGAGTTGGGCTGGGTTTAGAAAAAGGACAAGCTTCAGAAAATCTAGAGAAGAAGTGCAATTTGAGAAAGAAAAACAAGAACAGGAAATGGAGAAAGAAGTGTCAACAGAAATAATAATTGTTGAAGAAGAATTAGAAAAAGAAAAACTGACATCAGAAAAACATGGGACAGAAGTTTCTTGCCAAGCCAGTGATGAAAAAATGGAAAGTGAGGAAGAGAGAAAAGAAGAAACAAAAATGGTCGAAGCTCCAACAGAAACTGACTTGAAACAAGCTACCACTCCCAGTGAGCAGCCTTCAGCAGAAGAACCGACTGAAAATATAAATAAAGACATTTCTTTGGAAGACAGTGATGAAAAAATGGAAAGCGATAAAAAGAGGAAACTCTCATCAGAAACCGATCTGAAAGAAGCTGCTACTCCCAGGGAGCAACCGCCAGCAGAAGAACTGGATGAAAATATAAAAGAAATGGATATAATCTTGGAAGGAGACACTGACTTGGAGTCCAAGAAAAAATTGGAACAAGCACAAAAAAGTCTAATGGGCAAAGAGCAAAGTATTATTGCATTGCATGAATCAAAAATAGAACTGATAAATGAAGTATTTGAAGAAAAAATAAACCAACTGGATTCACTGTCTCCAGTAGCAATAGAAAAGCCTGAGGAACCTTTTGAAATAATAGAAGAAAAATCAGAACCAAGGGCTCCTCTGGCCACAGAGATTTTTGATGAAAAACCTAGAGAGATAAATATTGATGTTAGAGCGGTTGTGACAGAAGAAGAACCCCAAATAACTAAAAAAGAACAACTAGTTCTTGAACAGCTAGTGGAAACAAATGATGACTTTCAGAAAGAACAGCCCACCATTGAACAGTTAAAAGTCACAGAAACAGTTCTTGAAATAGCAAAGGAACACTTCATCCAAACCGATCCAAGCAGTCTTGATGCAGCAGCAGGCAAACCTCCAGAAGGCATAATAACAAGTGAGGTAGAATTGCTGTCATCTCAAGAAAAAGCCAAGATGCAAGGCAGCCCTTTGAAAAAGCTTTTCACGGGTCCTGGCTTAAAGAAATTGTCAAGAAAGAAACATAAAGGAAAGAAAGAAGCTAAACCAGAGGAAGCAGCAGAAGAAGCACAGCAGTCATCTGATACTGCAGAAAGTCCAGATGACCCAAGGGGGGAGAGTTCTGCTTCTTCTCCTGAAGAAATAACAGAATCCATAGAAAAGTCCTCCGATGCTGCACAGGTTCCTGAAACTGAAGAAGGGTTTCCTTCAGATGCAGAGAAGAAAAGAGAGAGTGTTACACCTTGGGCATCTTTTAAAAAAATGGTGACTCCTAAGAAACGGGTTAGGAGACTTTCTGAAGGTGACAGAGAAGAAGAGCTTGATAAGACAATCGAAAATGTACCTAACGATGAACAGGAAGATATTAAAGAAAATGGTGAGGAACAAAAAATAGAAAAAAGTGCAGATGAGCCCAAGAAAAAAGTTGATACTTCTGTATCATGGGAAGCTTTAATCTGTGTAGGCTCATCAAAGAGAAGAAGCCGAAAATCTTCATCTTCTGATGAAGAAGCTGGACCAAAACTTGCTCAAGATGAACAAAAAATAGATGAGAGTGCACCAAATAAAGAAGCAGTACATGATACCATCTTTACTAACTCACATGAAAGTGACCAAGGACAAGGAAGTTCTTCGCCAGAACAAGCAGGAAGCCCATCTGAAGCAGAGGGAATTTCAACATGGGAATCTTTTAAAAGACTAGTAACTCCAAGAAGAAAATCTAAAACAAGGATGGAAGATAAAAATGATGAACCCATCACAATTCCAAGTTTAGAACATGCTACCTTAGATGGGGATACTGAAAAAGAAGAATCCTGGGTTTCATTTAAAAAATTAATGCCTGGTCGTAGGAAGAAAAGGTCTGATGGAATACCAGAGCATGCTCCTGTTCTAGAAGCTGGAGAAGAAATGGCAGGAACAAATGAGGAGGACTTTGATGTTCCAGCTGTGGTTCCTTTATCAGAGTATGATGCTGCTGAGCAAGAGAAATGTGAAGCTCAACATGCAGAGCAAGATGATCTGGATAAGGAAATTCCAAGTCAAAATATAGAAAAGTTAGAAAGTACATCAATAACACAGCAGGTCGCTGAAGGATTAGTTCATGCAGTTGCTGTCTCAGTGCTAGAAGGTGAGAGAGCAATTATAAGTATTGAAGAAAGATCACCATCTTGGATACCAGCTGCTGTGACCATGTCCACTGAACATGTCAATGATGATGAGGAACAATCTGAGCAGATTTCTGGAACTGGAATTGTTGAAGAAATGGCAGCGGTTACTAAACTTGTGCCACAAATAAGAAAGGATATTAGTGGTGATAGTATAATCGGGGACCTGGAGTTAACCTCGGAAGCAGTTACAGCTAGGGAAGAAGCTTCAATCATTGAAGAGATAACTGAAGTGTCTTGTGCTAAAGAAACCACTGAAATGTCTTGTGCTGAAGAGACAACTGAAATGATTTCAGCAGTTTCAAGGCTAACTGAGTCTCCTGATACTACAGAAATAGCTACACCAGTACAGGAGATCGATGAAAATGAACAAGCCCTGGAAGAATTAAATAAACAAACACAGGAAATGTTGCAAATTGTTGCTGAAAGAATTAAATTGTCTGATGAAAAGGGAATTAATGCGAGTCTGACAGAAGTAATTGTTCAGCCATTGTCAACTAAAGAAGAAACTGAGGAAAAGCTGATGATTTCAGAAGGAATCTCCTCTACTGAATTTCCAAAAGATGTTCAGCTTGAAACAATAGAGTCTCGGGCTTACAAAATTGTTCAGATAATAATCCAGAGTGCAGTTGCCCAATTTCAGCAAGAGTTCATGGTTCTTTCAAAGCAGAAGAGTGAAACTGCAATTCTGTATCCTGATAAACTGGCATTTTGTGAGCAAATAAATTTGTTGCTAGAAGAATCAGCAGGAAGATACACCAGAGAAGGTGCACTTCAGATGGGTGCATCTGGATCCCATCCAGAAATGGAGGCGCCAAAATCTTCATCTGATGAAGAAAGTGAAGAAAAGGTGATGACCTCAGAAGGAATCCCCTTTGTTGAATTACCAAAAGAACTTCAACCTCAAACAACAGTATCTCAGGCTTACAAAATTGTGCAGATAATAATCCAGAAAGCAGTTGCTCAGTTTCGACAAGAGTCCGTGGCTCTTTTAAAGCAGAAGAGTGAAATGGCAGTTCTGTGTCCTGATCTGGACACAAAGGCATTTTCAGAGACAATAGATTCAGTGCTTGAAAAATCAGCAGGAATATGCACCAGAGAAGCTGCACTCCAGATGGGTGCATCTGGATCTCCTCCAGAAATGGAGCTGCCAAAATCTCCATCTGATGAAGAAATTGAGCAAAAGGTGATAACTTCAGGAGGAGTCTTAACATCATCTGACTTTCCAAAAGATGTTCAGCCTGAAACTATAGAGTCTCAGGCTTACAAAATTGCACAGATAATAATTGAGAATGCAGTTGGTCAATTACAACAAGAGTCTGTGCCTCTTTTAAAGAAGGAGAGTGAGACTGCAGTTTTGGACCTTCATCTTGATAAAGTGGCATTTTCTGAGAAAACAGATTCAGTACTAGAAGAATCGGCAGGAAGATGCATCAGAGATGGTGCGCTCCAGATGGGTACATCTGTATCCCCTTCAGAAATGGAGCTGCTACCATCCTCATCAGAAGAAGAAGCTGAGCAAAAGGTGATGACTTCAGAAGGAGTCTCAACATCTACTGACTTTCCAAAAGGTGTTCAGCCTGAAACCACAGAGTCTCAGGCTTACAAAATTGCACAGATAATAATCCAGTATGCACTTGCCCAATTTCAACCCAAGTCTATGACTCTTTCCAAGCAGAAAAGAGAAACTGCAGTTCTGTATCCTGATCCTGATAAAGTGGCATTTTCAGAGAAAACAGGTTCAGTGCTAGAAGAATCAGCAGGAATATGCAGCAGAGAAAGTGTACTCCAGGCAGCTTCATCTGGATTACAACCAGAAATGGAGTTGCCAACATCTTCACCTGTTGAAGAAGCTGAGCAAAAGGTGATAATTTTAGAAGGAATCCCCTCTACTGAATTTCCAAAAGATGTTCAGCCTGAAACAATCGAATCTCAGAGTTTAAAAGTTGAGCAGGAAATGAGTGCAGTTGCTCAATTTCAGCAAGAGCCCATGGCTTTTTCAAAGCAGAAGAGTGAAACATTAGTTGTGTATTCTGGTACTGATGTAGTGGCATTTTCAGAAGAAATAGATTTGGCACTAGAAGAATCACTAGAGAAATGCACCAGAGACAGTGCACTCCAGATAAGTACATCTGACTCCCTTCCAGAAATAGAGCTGCCAAAATCTTCAGAAGAAGAAACTGAGGAAAATATGATGATGACATCGGAAGGAATACCCTCTGCTGAATTTCCAGAAGAATCAAAAGGAAGATGCACCAGAGAAGATTCACTCCAGACTGGTACATGTGGATCCCCTCCAGAAATGGATCTGCCAATTTCTTCAGCTCAGGAAGAAGCTGAGCAAAAGGTGATGACTTCAGAAGGAGTCTCAACATATACTGACTTTCCAAAAGGTGTTCAGCCTGAAAACATAGAGTCTCAGGCTTACAAAATTGTGCAGATAATAATCCAGTATGCACTTGCCCAATTTCAACCCGAGTCTATGACTCTTTCCAAGCAGAAAAGAGAAACCGCAGTTCTGTTTCCTGACCCTGATAAAGTGGCATTTTCAGAGAAAACAGGTTCAGTGCTAGAAGAATCAGCAGGAAGACGCCCCAGAGAAAGTGTGCTCCAGATAGGTTCATCTGGATTACATCCAGAAATGGAGGTGCCAACATCTTCAGCTGATGAAGAAACTGAGGAAAATGTGATGACTTCGGAAGGAATCCCCTCTACTGAATTTCCAAAAGAAGTTCAACCTGAAACCACAGAATCTCGGGCTTATAAAATTGCACAGATAATAATCCAGAATGCAGTTGCTCAACTTCAACAAGAGTCCATGGCTCTTTCAAAGCAGAAGAGTGAAACTGCAGTTCTATGTCATGATCTTGATGCAATGACATTTTCAGAGAAAATAGATCCAGCGCTAGAAGAATCACCAGGGAAATCCACCAGAGAAGATGCATTCCAGACAGGTGCATCTGGATCCCCTCCAGAAATTGAGGTGCCTACATCTTCAGTTGATGAAGAAACTGAGGAAAAGGTGATGATGATTTCAGAAAGAATCCCCTCTGCTGAATTTCCAAAAAGTGTTGAGTTTGAGGAAGTAGAATCTCAGGCTTACAAAATTGTGCAGATAATAATCCAGAATGCAGTTGCTCAATTTCAACAAGAGTCCATGGCTCTTTCAAAGCAGAAATGTGATGTTCTAGTTATGTACCCTGATACTGATGCAGTGTCATTTTCAGAAAAAATAGATTCAATGCTCGAAGAAGCATTAGGAAGATGCACCAGAGAAAGTGTGTTCCAAACAAGTACATCTGGATCCCCTTTAGAAATGGAGGTGCCAACATCTTCAGCTGATAAAGAAACTGAGGAAGAGGTGATGACTTCAGAAAGAATTCCCTTTACTGAATTTCGGAAAGATGTTCTACCTGAAACAGTAGAGTCTCGGGCTTATAAACTTGTGCAGATAATAATCCAGAATGCAGTTGCTCAGTTTAAACAGGAGTCCAGGGCTCTTTCAAAGCAGAAGAGTGAAGCTCCAATTCTGTATCCTGATAAAATGGCATTTTCAGAGAAAATAGATTCAGTGCTAGAAGAATCACCAGGGAAATGCACCAGAGAAGATGCACTGCAGACAGATGCATCTGGATCCCCTCCAGAAATGGAGCTGCCAAAATTTTCATCTGAAGAACAAACTGAAGAAATGGAGATGACTTCTGAAGGCATCCCCCCTACTGAATTCCCAGAAGAATCAGAAGGAAGATGCACCACAGAAGGAACACTCCAGACAGGTGCATCTGGTTCTCCTCCAGAAATGGAGCTGCCAAAATTTTCATCTGAAGAACAAACTGAAGAAATGGAGATGCCTTCTGAAGGCATCCCCCCTACTGAATTCCCAGAAGAATCAGAAGGAAGATGCACCACAGAAGGAACACTCCAGACAGGTGCATCTGGTTCTCCTCCAGAAATGGAGCTGCCAAAATTTTCATCTGAAGAACAAACTGAAGAAAAGGAGATGACTTCCGAAGGCATCCCCCCTACTGAATTCCCAGAAGAATCAGAAGGAAGATGCACCACAGAAGGAACACTCCAGACAGGTGCATCTGGTTCTCCTCCAGAAATGGAGCTGCCAAAATTTTCAACTGAAGAACAAACTGAAAAAAAGGAGATGACTTCCGAAGGCATCCCCTCTACTGAATTCCCAGAAGAATCAGAAGGAAGATGCACCACAGAAGGAGCACTCCAGACAGGTGCATCTGGATCTCCTCCAGAAATGGATCAGCCAAAATCTTTATCTGAAGAGGAAACTGAGGAAAAGGTGATGACTTCAGAATGCATCCCCTCTACTGAATTTCCAGAATCAGAAGGAAAATGCACTAGAGAAAGCACACTCCAGATGGATACATCTGGATCCACTCCAGAAATAGAGCTGCCAAAATCTTCATCAGAAGTAGAAACTGAGGAAAAGATTATGACTTCAGAGGGCATCCCCTGTACTGACTTTTCAGAAGAATCAGAAGGAAAAGGCACTAGAGATGGTGCACTCCAAATGAGTACATCTGGATCCACTCCAGAAATAGACCTGCCAAAATCTTCATCAGAAATAGAAACTGAGAAAAAGGTTATGATGACTTCAGAAGAAATATCCTCTGCTGAATTTGCAGAAGAATCAGCAGAAAGATGCACCAGAGAAGATTCACTCCAGTCATGTACATCTCAATCTCCTCCAGACATGGAGCTGCTAACATCTTCATCTCCGGAAGAAGCTGAGCAAAAGGTGATGATTTCAGAACCATTCCTGACCCCTACTGAATTTCCAAAATATGTTCAGGCTGAAACAATAGAGTTTGAGAGTTACAAAATTGTGCAGAAAATGAGTGCAGTCACTCAATTTCAACAATCACAAGAGGCCACTTCTCCTTTAACGCAGAAGAGTGAATTGTGTCTAACAGGTTTAAATGAATTTGGAATTCAGGAAGTTTTACAAGTTCGTCAGCAAGTTTTTCTGGCAGAAGAGAAAAATCATGAAATTCAGCCAACCACTGTAAATGCAGACACAGAAGAAGCTGTTAAAGTAGCAAAAGAAATGCCTTCATGTTCTATAGTATCTGAAGATAGAGAAAACTGGAATTCCAGAAAGACAGATGCTGATCTTGAAACTGTGAAAGAGAATGTAAGCAAAACAGAAAGTAAGCAATATGATTCAAAGCCTGAATTAAAAGCAGATGTAGTTGTTTCAACAGAGACTCAAAACATCATGCTAGGAAGTATTGTCTCAGGTGATCATCCAATAGGCTCTCTTGAAACAGAACAATCAACAAGAAAAGATTTAGAAGTTGGGTTTATAGACGAAAACCAAGAAAACTTAATAGAACATCAGACTCCGAGGAAGAGAAAAGAAGATTACAGCCAATCGGCAGAATTTCCTGAGATGCCTAAAGAGGAAGATACCACATCTGCTGACAGTCTTCAGCCTCAGACAAAACTCGGAAAATTCTGAGGTGTAAGAAAATTCTTACACTTAAACATGTAAGTGTTTAACTAAAACAATTCATCTGTAGTTTAAATAAGCAATAATTAGATATTTTCAGATCTTATCAACAAGATAAAACACAATATATTTATATACTTCTGGTTTTGAAAACAGTGCATAATAGCTAAATAATTTATACTAAAAAAAATAAATGATTTAAAATGGGGAAGAAATAAATGCCTAAGATATGCTTGAGGAACTTGTTCTAATTTCAGTAAATAAGATTTGCCACGGAGTTAGTTGAGGAGGAAGACTTCAGCATAGTTTTTCCCAACTTGTTCCCCAAATGTGTTGCATGGCCGTTAACTTCACAATCCCTGAAGGCCTTTCAGACTAAGATATTAGATTGGATGTTTTTCACGCTGTGGTTATCTGATTTCCATAACTCTACTTTATTTTTCTAGTGTGTTTTCTTTACAGCAGCCATACGATGTTAACACCATCTGCACCTGCAATCTTAAAAATTTTCAAGACTCTTACAGCAATTGTGACTTCTTTTTCATCAAATAATATCATATTTATACTTGGATCTCCAGGTGCCTCCACTGCATGTTGTTTACTTTCCTGCCTTATTTCCATTCATCCATTGGTGTCACTTGACATCCATAATTTTCTACTAGATTTACCCAAACTCAGTCCTTTGTCTTTCATTATAATACAATTATTGCCAATCTGTGAACTGCTTTTGTTAGTTTATTCAACAATCTTGGTGATATATGTTCTTATATCTGTTACATACATTTCTTTCCAAGTTGCAGTCTAAATATTGACCACCATCACCTATCAAAGTTTTGGCCACTGGAGATTTTCACATTACAGTTTCTTAGATGTTAGTAAGTTACAGAATGTGTGGACTCGGTTATCAGCCTTACTGGCAAGAGTCCCAATTACAGCATTCTCTTCAAACATTTGAAATTAAGCACACATGTCACTTTGACTTCGAAAGTACTGCATTGTTTTAAATATAAAAATAATAAAAAATATATTTTTAAAAAAGCACACATGTACTGAGAATGCTTGAAGCACAAACATGGAAGTGGACTATATGAATTGCTTCCATCTAACAGTAGAAGAGGAGCAGGAGGAAAGGAATGGTTGAGAAATAGATGCACCTTTCATTTACAAATAATAGCTTGTCTCCTTATTGAAGAATGTGCTGAGACTCTTAAAAATATGTATTCATCTTTTAAAATTGTAAGCTTTTAGACTACTTTGTTGTTACTCGGTAATTAGCCACTTCAATCCCAATGAATTCTAAAAGATTTATATTCCAGGCATGTATTAAAGGTTACACATCCATAACACATTATTTATAATCATTCACCTTGTTGCATTGAGTAATTGCTATCTCAATTCAATCACAAACATTTTCTCATAATATAAAACCTTCAAGTCTCCAAACCTTTTCCTTCTGCAAGCCATTTAAGGTTTTAATGTTGACAACCAACACTCTCCACTGCATCCAGAAGACCACAGGCAAACAGTGCAGCTCTCTTGAGTAGCGATGTTATCTGGGCAAAATGGGGAACTAGTTTTGTATGGTCATACATAGGTTCTCTGTCTCTTGTCTGGCCAAGACTTCCATCTCCAGTTTATGTGCATCTGGTAACTTTGAACAGTACTGATAGACTGGGTGTTGGCAGTCCGTGGCTCCAGAGCCTCATGCAGCTCTTTGACTCCTCTCCTGAGGCTCCCTGCTGACGTGGTCATGTGGCTTGCTCTCCACCCCAAGAACGTGTAAGCCTCTCCACAGATCTGTGCAGCTGAAGCACCCCTAGCACTGCCTGTGACCGGCTACTTTTTGCAATTCCACATCCTTTGCAGGCAGCTCAGTGCCAGTCGCGGTCCCTTTCATGTCAGCTCAGGAATGGGGAGGAGTAGCAAGGAGGGAAGAGCTCCAGCTCTCCTGCACTGCGCAGCTAGCTACTCATCTCACTGCCTAGTGGCGGCAGCAAGTGGAGGAGTCGCTGTCCCCACCGCCAAGATGCCAGCACAGGAGGATATCCTGCTTGAGAGAGGATATCCTGCGTGTGTGAGAGAGAAAGAAATAAGAGAAAGAAAAGGGGAGAAAAAGAGAGAAAGAAATGAGAAAATGGAGAGAATGAGAGGAAATAGAGAAATGGGAGAGAGAAATGAAAGAGCTGGAGGGAGAGAGGGGGGAAGGATGGGAAACAGAGAGAGGGAGAGAGGGAGGGAGGGAGAGGGAGAAAATGAGAGGGAGAAAGGGGGAGGGAGAAAGATGAGAGAAAGATATGAGAGATGAGGGAGGGAGAGGGAGAAAGATGAGAGAGGGAGAAAGGGAGGGAGGAGAGGGTGGGAGCAAGGGAGAAAGAAAGATGAGAGATGTGAGAAGGGGGGAGAAAGATGAGGGAGGGAGGGGGAAAGAAAGATGAGAGAGAGGGATGACCGGGTAGAAAGATGAAAGGGAGGGAGAGGAAGAAAGATGAGGGAGGAGAGGGAGAAAGAGGGAAAGAGAAAGATGAGTGGGAGAATGAGAGAAAGACACGCACACATTTCCCATAGAAAACATTGGGAACCACAAAACGTATGTAGGTATGGCTGGGGGGAGGGTGTTCATGTGACTGGGTGGGAGTGAGTGACATCAAGTTGGCCATGCCCACCCAGGTTTTGTGTTTCCTGGTGTTGTTTTCGGTGGGAAACTGGTCCAAATGGTTCTTTGAATGTTTAAGATTGCAGGCCCTTGTGCTAGACAGAAATTGGCAAAAGTACAATTAATCTTGTCCTTATCGTTAACATATTGTGATTTGCTAATAATGTAAATTACTAGTTAAATGTTCTGATTGTAAGGCATTCTTGGGTTGTTTTTTTTTGTTTTGTCCCAACAGTTCTGTTGAAGATTGTTGAAGACTGCTTCTTACATTTGGAGGGACCAGTACCCAAAGAAGGTAGCAGAAAAGGATGGATTCTGCTTAAACTGGCTGAAGACCAATGATTTTGCTGTGAGAACATGTCTGTGCTTTCAGATGTTTTTCTGTCAAAGTCACCTGACAATCCTGAGCTACCATCAGGAGCTTGAGCCACCTCCTTTAATTTTGATTGTGAATACTTCCTTTCACAATATTCTTTTACTTTTATTTTTGTTGTTGATGAAGAGATTGGGGTGGGTTATTGAATGGGGGCAGGAAGTATTTCTGTTCAAATGATGTCAGTCTCTTAATCTGGAAAAGAAGTTGGCATCATGTGAGATTCCCTTTCTACCAATGCTTCTCAAACTGGATTGTAATTCTTTGTGTATTTATGTTAACTCTTCTTTCTATGTAAAAGATTGAAAGAAAATTATTTCACTTGTTTGGGCCAAGAAGTATTATGAATGACCCACCACTAACTATAGATGGTTCCAACCAACTTAACATTGGTTTCCCATTTGCTTGGAGGAATGTGAGAATAAATGTTTTATGATATATTTGCTATTGATTTCAGAAAGGTAATTGCCAAACAATGCACCTTCTCTTGATCTGTTAGTAAATTGTAAATCTAATTCATACTTCATGAATAGTGAGATACACTGTGATTTCTTTAAAGTAATTTAAATAAGTATATTTGGCTTACATTTATATTTGCATTCATATTCAGAATAAATGCATTATATGAATATTTAGGATGCCTGGAGTAAATACACTCAATTTTGTTCAATGCAACTCATAATATGAGATGCACTTACAAAATGGGCAGGCTTCAAATGCTCAGCAACTGAATAATCATTAAATATTCTTCTTTCAGAATTTGACTTTCAAGTCACCAAGTTGTATAGCCAGTCAAATTAAATTGCATTTTGTAGTCTTCATATCTATCTAAATGAGCTTTTTCCAAGGCCCCCAGCAGGCTCATTGTCCTACCTGTATTATATTTTATTTGACATGTACCCAGGAAACTATAGATGCATACTGTTAAGAGCTGCACAATGAGGAATAAAACAGAAAGATCATTAATATCACTGCACCATCTAGTGGTCACTATGCACATTTTCTAACTTACGATAACTTTTGGCTAATACTACTACTTTTATTCAGCTAAAATATGGAATGGCAAGTGTTTCATACAATTCTACATTATATCTGGAATAGCTTGGCTATAAAAGGCAAATATGACAAATAATAATATGCAATCCTGTACATGCATTGTGACATTGCAGTGGGCTGTTTTGTGCAAGTTAATAGTGAGAGATGTTACATCTTTTGTAGAAAAAGAAAAATCAACTTAGACTATGGTGAGTAGGTATCTGCTTTTTTAAAAGAAAAGTCATATACTTGATCTGTTTATATCAAGATATAAGCAATTTCTTTTTAAATTATAAATGGCTGTTTCTTTTAGCATGTTTAATTCAATCTTTATGTTTTGGTGATACAAAACCCAGTGGAATCCAGGTACCCAAAGATCATTATTTTGGTATAATAAGGAAATGTTATGCACCTTTTTCAGTTTTAATACATCAGTGAGGGAAGACACAAGGATAATAAGTCCTGCCTCCTCACCAGAAACTATTAAGTGGTGCCAAAAGGAAGAAGTGGCCATGTCAGCAGTGAGTAGTTTCTTCCCGGCCAGAATGGCGATAATGAATTTACCAAATAGTATCCCACTAGAAATTCAATTTGATTTCTTTGCTTCTACATTTCTTTTTGAGTAATGGAAAAGTCTGATCTTTTCTCCACCACACTGACCTCATGAAAATATTTAAAAATTGTCAGTCTATTCAACTATGTCCAAACAAAAAGTAGCTTCTTCATTCCAGTTTATGTACATTTTTTTTTCAAATCTAAACAATGAAAACTTGCATATGCTGTTATGTGCTATTTCTTACACATGATAGAAGAGCATAATGAAACAATTTGTTCACTCCAGTTGAATGCTATTTCATAAAGTTAATTTTATCTTTCAAAACCAATGAATAATTAAACCTACAGGCTCCTTAGAATATTTTTTTCTGAAAATTAATTGTATAGATTACACAAACATATTTGCTTCTAGACCCCTGAATTGTTCACAATTTCTTAGTGTGATAGAATAGGTAAGAAAATTTAATTTACTTGAAAATGGAAACAAGGAGGGCTTGTGGCTCTCTCAATTAGATATTCTATTTAGGTGCTTGAATGTTCAATAATAACTGTCCCAAAATTAATTAGCATTTGCAGTACTTTATTATAACATCATTTTCCCCAGCTACAAGTTTTGTTCTGGGTGCAAGACACTAGCTTTCTTACTTTCATTAGTTCTTTTATTAAATAAAACCTTGCTGCATTTCATAAAGTTAATTTTATCTTTGTGAAAAGCCAATGAACAAATTAAACTATAGTTCCTTAGAAGATTTCTTTTTTGAAGTTGATAGTATAGATTACACAAATTTATTTATTATTAAGAAATATAGTTCTATTTAATTTCAATAAAAAATAAAATATAAAACTACAGTCCCTATATACAAGTCAGTTGCTATTTAGCATTTTTTCTTCAGGCAAATGTATGGATTTTTCTTGGAGAGCATGAAGCCTCTACGTCATCTAAAAGAAGAGGCAGAGCCAGCAATGTGACTCATCTGCCCTTATTCCTGTGTTATGGTATCTTTTTCAATAGATCTGCTGAAATTACAGTTTAAGACCTGATCTATCCCTTACCCCTATTTCTGGAATTCACTCTTGCCTGATCAAGTTTCTTTATGTGATTCACTTGATTAGGAAATGTTTATTATGTATAGCCCACTTCAAAATAAGATTTGTTTTAGTGCCACTTTAATTTTATAGCACCATTTTAACAGCTAATGGGAAACCAATTATTTAAGCAAACTATAATCTGTTTATGGAAAGCCATATTGTGAAAGCTGCAGCAAGTGAAATAATAATGCAAAATACAGTGGTGGCATGACCTATGTAATCCTGGACTTTATATCTCCCTTTATAGCTCTAAGATTGTTAATAGTTGTGTAAAGTTAAACATTTAAATAAAATCTGGTAATAACAATGTAAATAGTTACTGACTAGAAGTTGAGGAACAAGTGCTTAATTTGGGAACTTTTTTTTAAGATACTGTGGCCTTTCTAAGCAATGTTAAGGACATAAATCATCTAACCAGTCATTCTTCTTCCAACTGATGGTCTCAAAACAAAAAACAAGGAACCCAAATCATTTTTGTCGTGGTGCAGGGAGCATGTCTCCATTCACAGATAACTGCTTTGATACAGTGTGTTGCTTTGGCCTCTAAAATACTTCAGACAACACTGCAAATCTTAGCTTGTGCCTCAACTCCAAGCTTTTGCAGTTTCTTCTAATTGATTGTATTGGGTTATATTTTGATTTTCTATGTTGTTTTTAAGGTAGATTTTCATGGATTAAATAAAATTCAAATAATTCATTCTTGTGTTGTGATTTCTTGGGTGTGTAATTTCTATATAATTGTAGTACCGGCATCTGTGCTTAAGCAGAAGGATTTTGGATGTCCTTAGAGCAGGGCTGTCAAACTCCCGGCCCACAGGCTGGATGATCACATGCTGCCCATGCCACTCCCAGTTTAGTGAAGGGGGGGGGGAGTCCCGGTATGTCACGTGACACTACTGTGACGATGTGAGTTTGATACTCCTGCATTAGAGCTTTAGTTGGGGAAATCATTTTTATTTTATATTTTTTTAAAGGAGGTGATCATAGAACTACACCATTGTTATGTCAACATACACCAGTTGGTGTCTTAACAGTCTAGCAAGGAGATCTGGAGAACTATTTAAAGCCTCCCAGACCTCTGCCACCTCCTGAGGCACCCCGTGCTCTGCTCCTTGCCTCTTGGGAGTCCCTGCAGATCTCAGCCTGCTCCCAACGGAGCCTACAGCCAGGCAGCAGAAACTACCAGTGTGCGGGGGCTGTTATGGTTTGTAGGCCTAGGCCAGCTACCCATTCAGCCACCCAAGCCGGGCAGCAGAAGCTGCTAGTGAGAGGCGGCTTGTTATAGGCCTCAACCTGCTTCCCATCCAACCACCTAAGGAATTTGCAGGACTCTGCCTGTTCCTCAGCCAGATCCAAGACCAAGCAGCACTCAATTTACCTTTCTATTCTTGCACAGGCAAGAATAGGCCTGGCCGATATGATGCCAAGCTCAGTTGTTGTTTTTTTTACAGAGGCTGCCTCATGGCAACCTTGTGCTATTTTGCAAGCAGGTTATTATTATTCTTGCGAGCCTCTGAGGAGGATGAGGTCCACTTTTTAAGAAAGCTCCACAAATGAAACCTCCTTAAAAACAGAGCCTCCTATAGTCTTGCAAGAATAGTACCTGCTTACAGAATAGTACAAGATTGCCATGATGTGGCTTCTGTAAGAAAACTGAGCCTCACGTTGCATTGTCTCATAGCATTGGCCTGGCTGTAACAGCCCTCTGCACCAGTAGCTTCTTCTGCCTGGCTTTAGGATCCTTTAGGATCCCTGAGTTGCCAGATTGGGAATAGGCCAAAGGCTTGTGGGGACCAGGTGAGATGAGTGGAAGAGATAGTGAGGGGAGCTCTGCACTGTCCTTGTTGGTCATAACAGTGAACAAGTGCTAGGGCAATGCAGCAGCTGCAACTTTAAACTTGGTTGTTACATCTCTTTAATACCTAAAGAAGGACTGGACCTATCCCCTGTGAAGAATTACAGAGTTAAGAATTTCTCTTCTTAATAACAGTTACAATCTTTTCACATCTATCTTAGCCGAAAGAGTTTTAAGTTTTACAGGATTACGTACATGAAGACCAGTGTGGGGTGTTTTTTTTAACGCAGAAGACAACTAATAGGCAACATAAGAGTAATCTTGGATATAATTGAACATTTACAACCACCTAGAGACAAAGAGGCTGCACTAATTTTTCTAGATGCAAAAAAAAGTGATAATTTGAATTGGGAGTTTAAAGTAGTGAAAAGGATGGATTTTGGATTGGGCTTTATACAGAATTTGAAGTCCATTTATACATTCCAGAAAGCTCTGATTATGGTGAAACAACAAAATCATGTGAAATCCAAAAAAAGATAGGTGTGTCTTTTATTCTCTTTATTATTTATTCTGGTGTTAGAACTGTTAAATAGGAATATTAGACAAGACAACAAGAGCAAAAGGATTACAAATTAAAGCACAACAACACAGTTTGTGCTTTTGCTGATGATTTGATATTGATTGTGCAAGACCCACTAGAAAATATTGAATATGTTATGAAGATGATTAAACTGTGGAGAAATGCTGGGTTTAAAAATAAAGACAATATTGACTAAGAATATGAATGTGGAAAAAATGAAGAAATTGGAATTTAAAACTGGTTTTAAAGTTGTGAAAACGTAAAATATTTGGGGGTGATTCCAAGTTGTATTACAAATAACTGTAAAAATATGGAAGGAGATAGATTTAAGCAGACACTAAAAACTAGAATTGTCATTAATGGAAAGAATATAAGTAATTAAAATAAATGTATTACCTAGAGTGTTATTTCTACTCCAGACTATATTAAGGTGACCAGATTTTCAGATTGGTAAAGAGGGACACCATTGACCGGGGAGGGGGGGCTGTAACGTTCCCGTGGTTCGTCCATGAGGCCAATGTGGAGAAAAGACAAGACACAACCTTTCTCGGGATGGAGCGACCCAGATTGGGTGTGTAAGAGCCCTTTTTATTGAGATAGGACAAAGGTAGGAGGAGCAATAGCACTCTAGGT